CATATCCTTCAAATTAATTATTTCATTGATAAAATAAGAGCTGCTTAAAGGCTTGATCAATGCAAATGTGGCATAATTATTGTGTCTGGGAAATTTTTTGTTTACTTAGAAAAAAGTAATATTTGAAAAATTCTCTTACTTATTGATTTTACTCTGGGATATTTGTGAAAATAAGTGCATTGATAGTTTATGGATGAAAGGAGTTTCTGCTTAAAATTTCAAGATCGTTTTACAACAGTTTTTTTTTTCTTGCTATTGTTTCTCCATCTCCTACCCCTATCTTTGCTGCCAATTCCTGTGTCCCCTCCCCATTAGGAGTTTGTCAGCTTCGGAGAATTGTTTTGCTCCAGAGTCAGCATGTGGTGAGTTGATTATTGTAACATATCCAGAAAGAAGCTTACAAGAGGTATTATATGTGGGACACAAGGATACCTCTAAAGACTCTTTGAGAGATTGGCTGCATAATTTGTGAGCCCCTTGAAAAATGAAAATGCAGAATTTCTTGTTCACAAACTACTAAGAATTTCAAGATGGTGACAGCAGAGCATTAAACCAAGTGAGGGCCCTTTGTGACTGCACAGGTCATTGCCCATGAAGTTGGTCCTGGCTCCTTGTCCTGGGAGCCTCTTAACTCTTCTCTTCTGTTCAAGTCACTGAGGAACATCTATTCCCTCGTTTGTCATAGAATTTGAGCAGCTGTATTTCCTGTCCCTTCAGTAGTTGGGATCCTTATTTTTGTCTTTCTGTCAATTTTTGATTCATGTGCTGCCTAGAAACTGTCAACAGTATCTTTTTTGACAACTTATTGCAGTACATCTTCAATTTAACCACCTCTTTGGTTTTCTTCTTTTTTTCTGAAAGGAGCTTTTCTCCCATCCTGCCTTGTGTGATCTGGTTCCCACATCCTACTCTTTGTCTTCAATCCAACACTTTTATTGCCTTGGATTGTTAACTGTTCCAGGGGGCTCTAGGATGAGTCACATGTCTTCAGACTAGATGGCAGGACTAGAGAGCAGTGCCAGGGTTCCATTAGCTTCAGGGTCCTCTTTCCCTACTCTCAGGATTTAAGGAGCTCTAAAACCCAAATATGCATTTTTAATTTCTGGATGTGGTTTAGCTCTGAATTTATGACCTCATTTCTACCTTTGTGACCTGGACTAGACACTCATTTAGAAGGAGACTAAATTTCCCTTTCATCATCACCAGAAACTCTTAAGAAAACCCTAAGCTTTGGGCTTTTTGTTTGTTTTTCTCTCTCCTGGGCTCCACCCAGACTACTCTAGTTCTGTAGATCAGAAAATAATTCTCAAGGAGGAAGAGGAGGACAGCTCAACAGAAGAAAGAGGAAAAGGACATCTTAAAAGAGTAAATCTTAGTTCAACTCCTCAAGTACACAACCCAAACAAGTAAAGTCAAGGAACCAAAGGACACATCAAGGTTCTTTTCAGTATTATCCTTCCTAGCAGATATGTTTTCTCTTCCTGACAATAGTTCAAGGACCTGAGCCCAGGGGGCGAGTGAGATCATTCTATTCCCTCCAGCCCTTTGTGTTCCAAAAGTAGTTCTAAGCATCTAAAGCAACTTCTTAATCCCTCCCAGTAACCGGATAAGTTAAGGCAGGTAGCAATAATCACTCTTCATTAATAAGGCAGCTGAGGCTCAAGTGACTTAGTTGATTTTTCCAAGGGCACAAAATGAATTTGAAAAAATTTTTGAGAACTCAGAATTCTCAAATGCCCAATTAAAAAATCTTAAAAAAAAAAATCTTGCCATATCTTGCTGCTGGCATCAAGATGTTTGCCACTAAAAAAAAAAAGAAAAAGAAAAAGAAAAAGATACTCGTCACTGTTGATGTCTGTGTTAATCTGTCTAGATTACCGTCATCTGGGTCTCTAACATCATTTGCTATATTTTACTCCTTTCCTTACTCATCATTCCTAAACATGGTAATCTTTACTTTATATCCTTGTAATTTTTAAAAATGAATTTTTTCAACATTTGAGATTAATTCTTTGATATTCATTTTATCAATAGTGGGGCAATATAGCAACTCATTACTACAATTTGAAGCTGAACCAATAACTAAAGTTTCCATATGTGGCTGGATGCCACATATGATCTCTCAGAGTTGCCCTTAATACTTCTTTGCCCTGAGCTTTTGTTTAGCATTAAATATCATCGTGCACTTAGATGGGGATCTGAAGATTGTACAGTTGCTTAGTTACTTGCTTTTTTCATTGCTTCCCATTTAAGCCAATGACTAAATGAACAATTAGGACTTGGGTTGTGTGAGAGATGTGTTTTATTTGGCATGGACCCTAATGATCAGATAATGAACTGCTTCATTCCTATCAAGAGGATATTCTAAAGGATTGTTTCATTTCTTAATGCTGACCCTCACTCTGAGAGGCAGACTGCTCTAATCATGATAGTTAATGACCAATAAGTGGCCATTTGTCACATTTTCATTCTTTATTCCAGGCCTCAGCCAACCTCTAACATAAAGAATTCAAACTATGATGAAATGCTTTAACAGGTAATGATGAGAGAGATGATGAGAATTTTTAGGGCAGTTCATGCTCCATATGTTCTCTGTAGTAATCAAGTTGAAAAATAGTAGTTTGGTTCCGAGGCACTACACAGTTTGATTCACTGGACATTTATTGACTACCCTACATGTACCTCATAAGAGCAGAAAGAGAAATGAATATCAAGGCACAAATCTCTGCCTCTCATAATTCAATAGTAGGAAGTTAAGTTCTAATCAAAGTTTAAGTAAATTAGGTTAAGATATACTTGGTTACTAGATTTGTGTGCAGAAAATATAAATTCAGAGGAAATATCAGAAGTCTCTAGAAGCTATGAAGACCTTTAAATTGTGTCTTCTGTACCCTTGGCTTGTGCGTACTTGACTTTGAATATAAACATAACCCGACATTTGGAAAGTTCACAGTTAAATTGTGGAAGTTCATTAACTGCATGATTAAAGGTGATTAAAGGTGTTTAAATTTCCATAATCCATTTACAAGTTTTATCCATTTAAAATCTCTAAATTAGCAGTTTTCTCTGCTTCTATGATTCAGGTCATTGCACCTTAGTTGAGCTAAATGTTTAAGTGTTCCCTGTAAAGAAAGCAAACAAAATTTAAATATCTGCCGTAGGAATGTCAAAATAGGAAATTAACCAGTAGTCTGAATACAAAACTTCCGTTACTCTTTTATTTCATCTTTCCCTCCTCATCACCATATATAATTATAACTGAAATAATAAAATTTTGTAAAATATTTCCTTTTAAAATAACTATGTATAAAACTTAGGTCACTTGGATTCCTTTGGCACATAGTATTATAAATAACAAAGGCACTAAAACAGGGTTATTTTCATTGTAAACTTTAGTTGGAAGATAAATCATAAGAAATAATGTAGAATATATGGTACATAATATCCAAGTGAAAAATGACATAACATTTTATTTTAAAATACTGTTATTAGAATATTTTCTCTAACAATTTATATTTTATGCTATTGATTAGCTAGAACAGTAGGATAAACATAAGTGGAAATCAAAATTACATTGATAAAATGCAAAACATTATTGGTCACCAAATATTAATCTCTCTAAAAGGGGTTTTGGTAATAAGAGAGAATTAACAGTTTGTAACTTTTTTTTAAAAAAAGTAATTAAAGTTACGAAAGCATCAAGATAAAATTATTATTGACTGAACTTTAAGTTAACTTTTGTAATGCTGATAAGAACTTTTTGATTCTTTAAAGAAGTATTTATTTAGTGTCTATTGTGTGTGTCAAACTTTGTGGAAGGTACAAATATCTCTCCCAAGAATCTTAAAATCTAGTTTCAGAAATGTCAACATAAGTAACTACGATAGTTGGTAGAACACCAAAGACCCATAATCGAGATGCAGAAAAAGTAATATGAATGTTGAAAGGTGGGAGTATCACTCCCAACTGGTGAGATGGGAGGTGAGTTGAATCGCCAAAGATTCCACAGATCAAGTGGCACTGCACCGAGATGGATCTTTTAGGGATAAGTCAGTAGTAATTCCCCTATAGGAATGAAGGGAGTAGTGACATTCTGCCTGACTGAGACATGGAGGAATTGAAGATCAGGAGCTGAAAAGTTTTGGAAAATATGTGTGTGAGTTTATGTATGGAGAGCCTTGAGTGCCAAGTTGAAGAGAATCCTTCGATTCTATTCAGTGAATATATATCAAGCACTTTACTCTTTGTGTTGTGCTAAAATCTGTGGATATTTTAAAAAATCCAGGCAGCAGGGTCTTTCTCCTCAGGAAGTTCACTTTGTGCATTTTGTAGATGCCATAGATGTCCGGACTGGAGTAGGTTAGATGGATTATTGGATACTTTTGGTCAGAGGAGATCTGGGCTATGATTTGGAAGTAATAATTTGAAGGTGATATGTGAAATAAATCAGAATGGAGAAGACTTGGGCAGTACACCCTCAAATGTCAGCTGTCCCAATTTTATTCAGTTCTGAAAAGGACATCTCTTAAAAGAAGAAAATGAAAAATACCAAATTACGTTTGCAGGCTGGTGTGGAGGACAATTCTAAGTGGAATGAGGCTTATTTTCAAGAATCCCACGTTAATGTTCTAATTTCATGTAAGTGAAGGTACTTCTGACATGGAGTAGTCACTAGAATGATTTATTTCTTTAATCTGCACAACTGCATTTACTAATGAGGGCAGAGGCATGGTGGCAGACCATGCAGGTACCAGTGTTCTGCCCTCGCAGGTGATCTTCTCAGCAGCCCAAGATCACAGCAAGAGAAAATAAGTGATATCAAGTTCTTGGGTGAGAGGGGAGAGAGTGTTGGAGGAGAGGAAGAAAGAGACTTTGTTGAAATTGAAGAATGGAATAAATTGGTAAAAAATTAATACAACAGTTTTAGAGCAAAGGAATATGGCATACTTTTTTTTCTTAAACATTTTATTCACGTTATAGAGGGATTTCTTTTTTGTTTCTTTTTTCCAATCATTAGGAGAATGGTTGAGGAGTACTGAATCCATCACTACTTTGATGACACAGTTAAGATTCCAGATTCACATTTCCAGGTACCAAGAGTTCCCTCTAAATGCCACTATCAAGTCAGCCTTCTCATACATTTCTTTCTACTGAACGCAGCAATGCCCATTGGTATCTCTGAAGCATAATCACACCTTAGGTCAGTATTCCTCCAGGTAAAGCAGCTATTTGGAACTGAATGCTCCCCTTCTTTTTTGTCTTAGAAACTGAACTGCATCTTCGTACTTCATTCCACATTCAATCAAAGCAAGTGCGACCAGCACAGGTGCCCTTCCCAGTCCTGCAACACAATGCACTGCAACACAACAACCTGGCTTTTCATGAAATTTGGTTTTTAGTAGGTTTAGCCAATCGTCAACTATCTGATTAGGGGGTGGTGCTCCATCATCAAAAGGCCAATCTAGAACGTGGATTCCTTCTTTTTCAACTGGTGCTTTATCATATGTAGCATCACAAACTTGAACCAAAGTTGTCACTCCATACTTCTTAAATTCCTCTGTGAACTTGTTGAGGGTAGCATTGGTAGGGTTGTGGGTTATCAGAAAACGCATGTTCTCATAGGAGATCTCCACAGGGGCTGGACGGTTCATTATGGCAAATAAAAACTGTGAGCATGCGTGTGTGAGTGTGATGGGGAAAATGAAAAAAAAAAGCAATAAATCTTGAAATGTTTCACAGCAGAAAACATTAAAAAGACCACTAAAATGCCTATTATTGATCAGTGTTTTCTCTATTCAACTTGTTTATTCTTTAAGAAGCTTCTCCCTTCAAGGTAAGCAGAAGTATTTAGAATCCACTTGAATCCAAATTCAATTTGGGCCTCAAAGTCTGCTGATGGATACCTTCGGACTCCAAAAAAATCCAACTACATACGAAACTTAAGCAGCCTTTACTACATTTAGGCACTAGTGAGACAAGTTAAAAGAGTAGGTCGCTTTCCACTTTTGTTTACTTGATGCTTAATTTTACTGGAGTCATTAAAAGGTATATGCTTGCAATAAAAAAAAAAGCCAACTATTTCTGAGGCCAGTCTCTGTCCAGAGTGTTCAAGGCAATGTTAATTATGGCACATAGAACCTCCAAGCTCACTTGTCAGCGGAAACGCTGTGCTGAGCCTGGCAGAAGTCTGCCCTCACGCTCAGAATCGCCATAAATGTGCAACGTATATTCCAACGAAAAACGCTGGCGAGCTGGGGACTGGGCATTGAAGTCCAGCGGCGGCGGGAGCGGTGACGGCGACGCCCCCCCTCCCCCCTCCAGCCTTGGCGCGCAGGAATATGGCATAATTTAATGCTAAATTATTGCTCTAAAATTCTGCTGCTGAATTATTAAACTAATATGACTTTTCTCCATATGCTAGGTAGAATTCTAGGATGTCCCCTAAGACTCCTACTCACTGAAGGGCATGTCCTGTATAGTTCCTTCTCCTTAAGGCTAGATGGAACTTCTGAGTATGAGGATGTCTCCCCCATGAGCAAATTAAATCGTAGTACAAAAGTGAAGGAATTTTTGCTGATGTGATTATGATTCCTCTAATTAGTTGACTTTGAGTCATTCAGAATTCTGAGTGAGCATGAACTAATCAGATGAGCTCTTTAAAAAAGGGTCTAGAAGTCAGAAATGCTCTCTGCTACTGGATTTGAAGAGTAAGTCACAGTGACTTATTCAACATTGAATTCTGCCAATGACCACATGGCTTGGAAGAGGATCCCAAGCCTCAGATGTGACCGTTGCTCTGGCTGACACCTTGTTTGCTGTCTTGTCAGATCCTGAGCAGAGGCCCAGCTAAGCACAGTCCAGACTTTTGACCTACAGAAACTGTGAGATAACAAATGTTTTTGTTTTTTCTAAGTTGCTTAATTTGTGGTTATTTGTTAACACAGCAATAAAAATTTAACATACTCCTCATTAGATAGGTATTCTGAGGGCGCAGGAGAGTGGGGATAATATATATGGAAAATATGTTTACTAAAAATTGAATGAAAATCCATTGACAATTCTTAGTGGATTACTTAACCTAAAAATATTCAGGCTAGTAGATTTCTTTCCCCTACATCTGGCTCTTACTTCTAAGAGTTAGGTATAGTTTGGGACAGAGCAGTGCATCAAGCAGGGCATAAAATGGCCATGTGATACTGTGTCAGAGAAAAAAATATGCCCCTATTTATCTCACTTGATTATCACTGGGAAATTATCATTGGTTTGCTAAAGGGAGGAAATGGGCTTATTTTGGTTAGAACTAGACATGGATTTGTTGACCATCAGTTAATTGTTAATTTAAAGCAAAACTACGTGACTCATTCTATGTCTTTGTTTCTATCTGGAAAATATTAATATTTTCTTTATATTCACTGATGAATGTGATTAAGAACTGAATCAAGCATTGGTGTATCATAGAGACATAGAAATGATGGTCATAAGTTTTATGCAAGTGTAATATTTGTGGAGAGTTCTGCTCCCTTCCCTCCCAGCTTTCTTGTTTGATTCTTGGGATAATAGAAACTGATTCTTGAAAAGGATGAAGAAATTAACAAAAACACTGTAAGCAGAGTAAAGCTCCAGAGTTATATTAAGAAACAATTTAGCAGTCTTTAGGAAGGAAGAGAAAATAAGGTGGTTCTCTATAGGGAATTCGGTTATAAGCACATGGAATTCGGTTATAAGAAGTGCTTCAATGCAGCAGTAGAAAGGTTTATTTGTCCATAAATGTGTCCTCAGCAGGATGAACTTGGAAAGGCTGCTTCCTTCACCCATTCCTTCTGAAGCCTGGATTTGAAGGCCAATGCCTCATTGTAACAGTAAGGAGTGGAAATCAGATAGTAACAGAATCTCTCAAAAACTGACTGAGAGGAGATAGAGGATCCCAAGAAGGGAGGGCAGAGGAGTAAGAAGGCGGGGAAAAAAAAAGAGGGAGCAATAGAGAAGACATACCCTAATGTCCCCTGATGAACATGTTTTATATTGTCTACAGAAGAGGAAACAAAACAAAGTTTGGCATAATTTTCTGGACTCTGTGTATTTGATCTTAGAATTTTAGAACTCTTTGGTAATGAAGTGTATTTTTAATTCTTTCAGACATTAAGAGTGTAGCTATAAGGTTATACTTCTTTGTTCATTAGGATTATAAGTGTCTGGAGAATGTGTAAGTCAACAAACAGGATTTCAAGTAATTTTATTATTAAACTACAGAGTTTATATCTACATGCATGTATGTAGATATGAACAACATATAAATCTGCAGCATTTCCTAGCAAATTCTTATACATAATGCATATTATATCATATTAAACAAAATCATAAGAGTTCAGCAATAGTTTTCTGTATTCTAGTAATTATATGTTTGCCTTGCCCTCAAATCATCCTGAAATTGCCAGGGCCTTATCACCTCTGAGCTCATTATCTGGTCCGCTCATGGTAGACTACAACACACTGTCTTTGGGAGTTTTAAGGCGGAAGTTAATTCCTTCTTTTCTCATGTGAGGGAGTGGAATGATTCCTACACTATCCCTTCAGCTGCCTGGATGGATGTCTCCTTAAGCAAAAATGGAATCTGGAGGAAAGAAGTTGTGGAGAAAAGTGAAGGGGAAGACTTTACAGTAATCCCATGACCCCATAGTGAGAGGTTTTCTTTGTCCTCATCTACTATGTTCCTTACTGAATAATATCCAATTCAGTATTTTTCATCCTTATGGGGAATTAAAATTCACAAATCATTTTTACTGGGATTATGGCATTTTAGGGTACAAAGTATATACATGCACACTTTCATATTCAGTTAGCTTTATTCAGCTTAAAGTTTCTCATTCTCTTTATTGTTTTCCTACAACCACAAGTTGACTAGCTGTGACCTTTGGGTCGTTCTAAATTTGGGGGATAACACAATTGTACTTCTCATCCTACCTAAGCAGAAGCACTAAAGGTATTTTTTTTAAACCATTTTTTTCCTATTGAAGTATAGTTGATTTACAATGTTGTGTTAGTTTCAGGTGTACAGCAAAATGATTCAGTTATACGTATACATATATCTATTCTTTACCAGATTCTTTTCCCATATAGGTTATTATTATAGCATTGAGTAGAGTTCCCTGTGCTGTACACTAGGTCCTTGTTGTTTATCTATTTTATACATAGCAGTGTGTATATGTTAATCACAAACTAATTTATCACCCCCACCACCTGCTAAAGGTATTTTTTTTTTTTTTTTTTTTTTTTTGGCAGTATGCGGGCCTCTCACTGTTGTGGCCTCTCCCATTGCGGAGCACAGGCTCCGGACGCGCAGGCTCAGTAGCCATGGCTCACGCGCCCAGCCTCTCCGCGGCATGTGGGATCTTCCTGGACCGGGGCACGAACCCGTGTCCCCTGCATCGGCAGGCAGACTCTCAACCACTGCACCGCCAGGGAAGCCCTAAAGGTATTTTTTTACCACATAATTTGTCCTGAAAATGCAGAGTACTTTCTCTTTGGTCTCTATTATTTTATGACAAAAATATTATCCTTTAATTATCTGTATGTGAATTCATTTATGTATTTTGCAGAGAGAATGCAAATGGTTCTAATAGAGCCAGATCAGTGGTAACAAAGGCACTGAGTTCTTCAGGAAACTGAGGATTGAAAAGCTTGAAAGGCTGAGCTTGAAAGGCTGAAGGCTATCTGAGGCCTCTGACCATAGAAAGTTTATCGTAACTTCTTGGCTCACCTGCGCCTTTAAAAATTCCTTTGTCCTTTGTCTAAAGTGGTATCTAGTGTAGGGCCATGACTTGCACTAATCATCAACTCTTCCTTTAGAATCTTAACATGTAACTTCTTCTAAAGAAATTTGGTTCCCCATGCTCTCCATGGCTCTCTGTTCTCTGCTCAAACCCAATGTGTAAAAATCATGAGTTTCTAATCACAATCTATCAGGAAACCACTTAAGACAAGTTTTCCTTAGACATTTATCTTTCAAAAGGAACACCAGGATATGATATAAATACACCTGTTACTATTATTGTGTGGTTATTCAGACTCCTGTCAGCCTTGTAGTTTTATTTTTTAAAATACTGTATTTTTGAAGAGGGGGAAAAAAGCTCACCACACAATTAGTAGGACAGTATTAATCGGGATAAAGGGATTTTTGAACTGCGTGAAAGGCTCCCTTAAAGCTGACGTCCTTTTTTACAGTTCCATCACTGACTTAGTTGAAAATGTGGAAAGCAGGCTCATTAAAAACATGGATGATCAAAGCTTGAAGAGGGAATGGAGATATTTGAGGACAGAATTAGGATTTCAAGAAGATGAATGATGGCTAAAATAATCAAGTGGAAATATTATAAGGATATATGTAAATGCTGAACTTGAGCTCTAAAAGTCAACTGCACAAATACAGGTTAGGGCAATACCTGGCTTGAGAGCAGGTGAGCAGGTGTTCATCAATACTAATTAACAATAAAGCAAAGCAGGAAACAGAATAAGCTATGGAGTTTCCATTTAAGCCAATAATATGATATGTTCTCTAAAATAGCTTATGTAATCTTACCCTGCATAATCTTATTAAAAAAGAATAAAACATCCTATGTAAATATATATATTTCTGTAAATATATTTATGATTCATGTGTGTTGATATAAATTGTAGAGTGAGGCATGTGAAGCCATACAGATAACAATTACATTGGCTAGCTTAGGGGACTTAAATTTTTTTTTTATCCAATCCTGTTTTAAGAATTTAAAATTACAATTACAGTATATAAAATAAAATAATGTCGGGCTTCCCTGGCGGCGCAGTGGTTGAGAGTCCGCCTGCTGATGCAGGGGACACGGGTTCGTGCCCCGGTCCAGGAAGATCCCACATGCTGCGGAGCGGCTGGGCCTGTGAGCCACGGCCACTGAGCCTGTGCGTCCGGAGCCTGTGCTCCGCAACAAGAGAGGCCACAACAGTGAGAGGCCCGCGTACCGCAAAAAAATAAAATAAAATAATGTCAAGGGTACATGGAACTCCTAAAGAAGTAAAAATAATAATAGCAACAATAACTATATTCCTGTTATACTTGTGTAGCAAACTACAGTTTATGTAATAAATTATTTTATTATTAATTAAAATTATTCTTTAATTTTAATTGGTTCCTTACAACTCTGTAAGATAGGTAAGGTAGGACTTCTTTTACTTCTAGGTATTAATGCAAACTCAGGGAGGCAAAGTGATTTAATTTGATCTGAGTTCCAGTGGTCATAACAATAACACAAATATGTCTTT